ATCTGTGCTGGGTTTTCAGGCCCAAAGGAACTCAGGATCACATCAGGACATAAGAAGGGACACTACCTTCCAAGTCAGAAAAATCCTGTTATCTTTCATCCTAAGGAACCACTTCATGCACTCTCATGGCACAAGAGAGCTCCAGGCACAGGATTATTGCTCCAGGCTCCTGTGTCAAGCTCATATCCTGTGGCTGAGCTGCAGCATGCTAGCACCAGGTCTGCCAGGGATGCTTACACATGAAAACAGGCCTGCTCCTGTTAGAGGAGAAGCTATCCCACTTTTCCCCTTGAAAATGTCGTTAAAAAGGTGAAAGGTGGTTGTAGTCAGGTAGGGTTGGTCTTCTTCAGGCAGCACTGACAAACCAGAGGACTCAGTCTCAAGCTGCACCAAAGGAAATACAGGCTGGATATTAGGAAAAAGCTTTTTATAGAAAGGGTGATAAAGTTCTGGAGTGGCCTGCCCAGGGAGGTGGTGGAGTCACCATCCCTGGATGTGTTTAAGACTGGATGTCACACTCAGTGCTATGGTCTAGTTGAGGTGTTGGGGCTGGGTTGGGTTTGATGATCTTGAAGGTCTCTTCCAACCCAGAGATTCTGCGAGAATTCTGTGGAAAAACTGTACAGATCAAGCCTCTCTGCCTTGAGATACTCTCAGCCTGTCAGTCTGGTAGGAATGGCTGCCTGTGAGTATTTCTGTGGCTTCACCACTCCATTTTCCCTTAAATACACTTAAAATCTGATGTAGGAGTGGTGCTCTGTACACCCTGGAGCTAAAGCCCTTGGCTCGCCTGTCCCCATCCTCAGATTGCAAAGGGCTGAGGAGGGAAGTTCCAGCCTCACATCCCCTCCCACAGAGTATCAGCACTGGCAGTAGCTTCTCAACAAAAACTTCCTTTGGACAAACAAGATCATCATCTGTTTACAACAGGCATTAGAAATTGCTGCTGACTCCCAGGAACTGGGCACTTATGTGGAGTTTCACAACACAGGCTGTTCAATCTCTTCTCGTGGTGCAGTGGGTGAGACTGGGTCTGCATCCCCTGTGTTTTCAGCCTGCTGCCATGGCACTGCAGCTGCCCAGCTTTTAAAATAAAGGGAAATAAATCAGTATGTGCTAGTGAGAGAAGAGAGCATATTAACCATCCTCAGACTTTTAAACCCCTAAATGGATCCAGGAATAAAGCAATTGGCTGCTTTCTTCCTTTCCCTCCTTTTCTTGCACACTGAGTCAATGGCTAAGTGCCTTCACCCAACATCCTTTTGATTGCATAACAACTTCCAGACAAAGCACGCAAGAGTAATAATGCTCAAACTGTTTGACAATACCTTTTTCTTCTCCTAGTCTGCCTATGCATCCATTAATATATTTATCCACATACAGAAATCAGTCTTTGTCTGGCTTTTCTTTGCTAGCTGGGCTAAATGCACCAAATGCTTCCAGCCTCTGCTCATCTCCTGAAAAATGCTTTTGATTATCACTCCTTTTTACTCAGGAGACTCACTCTTCACCTGGGTAAATTTTGATTTATCTTTCTTCTACGCTCATGACCAGAATAAGAAGAAATGGAAGAAATGGCATTCTGTGTTAAAAAAAAAATCAAAAATTTCAATTATGTTTTTGTCAGGTCATAAAAACACAACACCACAATGGACTATCATCTGGATTTGCTGTAGTTAAGAAACGTTACCTAAAGTAACAGACATAAGCTTGTCACATTAATTAATTTTTCTTTTAAAGCCCATGTTGAGAATCATTCAAGTAATAATACGGAATCAGTCAGCAGTCTGCATACAGATTAAGAAGAAAATATTCCAGAATCTTCAGCAATAAAAGAACTTCATACTGAAAAATACAATTAACATCAGAAAGCTGTCCTGCCATCTGTTCAAAACAAAAGGTATCAAGTGTTCTTGCTGTTACCAGAAAATAAGGAAATGCTATGGATGCCTTGATCTTGGAGGATTACCCTTACAGATGACAGCAAGGTAAACTGAAATATGCAAATGAATAGTGAGCATGTCAAGATGCAGGACACAACATGGGTCTCACCCAACTGCAAGATTAGAGCTTATATAAAATTACTTAATAGACCTTCACACACAAAAATTGCCATCCAGTTCAAGCTGCCTTCCACATGCGCCATACCCTAAGTGGAAATGATCTCCGTGGGGCTAAAACCAGCAATCTTGGATTGCCTATGAGGAGCATACAGCTCCTGAGACTAAACTGGTACTACCTTATTTATCAGAAAGCTACAAGAGAAAGCAAGTTAGCCATGTATGCAAAACCTGACCCCTCAGCAGCCTTTTTGGGCTCTCAGCTGCTGGACTGCAGCACCACCCAGACCCCCTGCATGGGCTGCAGACCCTGTGAGCATCAGGAGAGCTCCCACTGGGGTCAGCAGCACCGAGGGAGGGCTGCTCTCCATCTCCACCACAGCTCTGGGATCTGACTGCACCAGGAGCAGCCTCAAAGACTGCCCAGACCCACTGCTAGACAGCAGACACTGCATATTATTTGCCTTTCCCTGCAACAGAGAATAAACAGAGGAAGAAGGGAACAAGAAAACAATGCCAGAAGCAGCTCAACCAGGCAACAAGTTCAGGAAAGTTGCAGGGCTACAACCACCAGTTCTCTAAGCTAAATAAAAATACAACACAGGGGAGTGGTTTTCTGTTTGTTTTGTTTTTCCCTCCCATCAATTTGTGTAATTTTTGTGTAATTTTACTGATAAGGAAATAGCAAGCAAAGGAGGCAGACTGCTGTTTTAAGCAGCACACCATTGTCCAGGCAGTGATTTACTGTTTCACAGGGTCTAGCAAACAGGACAAACCAATGGCTTCAGGGATGGCTGCTGCTCAGGCCTCATCTCCTCACCTTCTGTAGTCAGCTCCCAGAAAAATATGCCTGATCAAGGAAGCTGGCAGCAGGCTTCTCCCACTTCATCACTTGCTTTAGCAAGGCTTATCTTTCCACACAGAAAATAGCAGGCCTTGCTCATGACAAAAGCAACTGCTTAAAAAAATAACATGGGGGAAAAAAGAGAAAGTGATCACATAGAGAGTATATTGTTCTCATATTTCTTCACATAGTTCCACTATCATCTCAGGATGACTTCACACAAAGAGAAGGAAATTAAAGAGGATCTCCTATATAACCTCCTTTCTTCATGTATTTGCAATCTCGCTATCAACATGAACCCAAATACTCTGTAAAAGCAGAAAATGGCATTTCCTTTCCAGTCCTTGCACTATCAGCACCTCAGCAGATATAAATTTACTTTCTTTAAATAGGCACTGCTCGAATGGTGTTTAGAAACAAGATTCATCTAGTTGCCATGAATTATTAACCAGAAAAAATCCCTCTTGTTCTTTACAGCGTCTTGATTTGCAAGTTTAAAAATCAAACTGACACTTAAACCTCTTGTATAAATACCCAACCTTTAAAAAAAATGCTCTGAGCATTATAAATACATTTTTTCATGAATATGAGAACAACAATTCTATAAATAGCTACTCTTCACAGAATTGCTTCGAGACATTGTTTTTACAGACAACAGTAGGAAACTGAAGGAGGTCTTAGCGCCAAACATATTAAAAGTGAAATAAACTCTCCAATCAACTCTGGGTTTCCACTTATTCTTACAAAGTTCATCGTTATTTTTTAGCTTATACAATTAGTTTATGCAAGGGAAGGAACAAGCCAAAAGGCTGCACCGTGTCCTGGCACAGCCACTGGATCAGTGTAAATCAGTCACAGCCTTCAGCTTCTCAGGGCACTCACTTGGCTGCTCCAGGCAGTAATTTAAACCAACTCGGCCCTGTCAACAGATGAACTCACTGTTACCCACCACAACCTTGCAGGAGCACAGGCAAAGACAGGATTTTCATTAGAAAATTAGAAAAATAGACTCACTCCAAACCCTGCTCCATCTCCTCTCAAAAGCAAACACAGGAAGATAAACACAATCTAATGTAACAGCAAACTGCCTCCTCGATGTGCCTGCACATTTCATGGCTGCTGTCTCCTCAAGCTGTTTTTGCCCTGGTATCTAAACAAAATCAACAAGAACTCCCAAAAAACAGCTACACAACTGGTAAATCAGGTTTCTGCAGCCAGCACACATTCAGGGTTTTTGGCAGATACTTGTACAAGGCCAAAGCTCAAACACTACCAAATTCAACACAATTTTCAACAGAGCCAGTACAAGCACTCACTTGATAAGTACTTACTTGAAAATTCATCACTATAATGAGGAGAAACTCACTCAATTCCCAGTTTCAATACAGTGTTTTACAATACCAATGGCAACACTCATTTTCTATTAGAAACCTGTCTGTGAAACAAGCTGCACCCAAGTGCTCAGGGTTCTGCCCTCTTTCCCTGTGTTTCTTGGAGTTTCCAGCCTCCAGCAGCTGGGACCATGGCAGTGGTGACTCTGAGGGGTGACAGGGATGTGGAATAGGGGCAGAGCAGTGATGAATCAGGCTGTGAGCTTTCCCAAGTGCTCCCAGCCTCAGCAGTGAGCTCAGCACACTGGAATGTTTTTGAAAGTGTCCAGGGAGGATCAGGAAGAACTTGGTGACGTGGCCCACCTGGCATGGCCAGGGAGCACGTGGCTGTTAAGGATGAAGAATTCAAAGGGAGCTGTGGCCTCTGGGAGTTCTGCCACACACCACAGACAAAATCCTCAACGTGCAGAAGGCAAGAGAAATCACAAGCCAAGTTTGAACCACAACAGCATCCCAAATGGATCTTTCCTGTCCTTGCCAGGACAATTGTACACCCCACTGGGCATCCCAGCATTAACATGGCTGGAATTTACCAAATCTTCCATCCAGCTCTCCAAGACTTGTGCACCAGGGATGAGCCACATGCTTGTTGTCATTGCTCTCCAGAAAATATGCTGATAAAATGCTTGTCTGCTGTGCCAGGACTACACATCACACCACAGAGAAAAGGAAGAACCATTCTGGAGCTGGAAGCTTTTCTCTTACCTTATTTTGATCTGTCCAGTAGAAGAAAAATCCCTGTGGGTCTGTTCTGAGGATAATTGGAGTCACAACAGTGGAGTCCTGGCAGAGAAAGGACAAACAAAAAATCCATGTCAGCACCACAGAACACATAATTGTGCACAAGCTGCTTTGCCATCCATGTTAATGAATTGCAACATCTAGAAATTACCCTGAAGGTATCACTAGCAAGATGTCACTGAAAGAATTTAGTATCACCTGCCTCATCTCCATTTTTCTGACATAATGTATTTCCATTACTGTGGAGACAGCACCTAATAACTCCAGACTTGTCAACACATGGAGTTAACCCAGAAGAGCTGGAAGTGGATGAAGTTAAACAGGCATAACACCCTGAATATCAAGCTAGAGCCCACACAGTAAAACATTACAGTTAGGTGTCCACTGCCCACCTTGATCTGACTTCACCTTCAGATATGAACATAAAATATCTACAAAATTTACTTTTACAAAGGCTGAATTTGCCTAGAAAACACAGAATAGCATTCTTGGCCTTAAGAATTTTGTCATTAGCATTCCATTAAGATTTATCTTTTTTTTTTTAATCAAACCATGAACACTTTAGTAATGGGAATATATCTGTATTCCACCTCACTTTCAAACTGGTTGAAAACCTGTCTAGTCTGCTAACATCCACAGCTCAGGTTATTTAAAACCAAGCCCATTTCTCAGCACGCTAAGCAAGGCAGCCTTGTTACCAACAAATTGATGTCTTCTGACTGACAGCAATACCTGACTCAGGAGACATGAGCCCTAACCCAAGCCTTTCCACAGGTGGAAGTTCATCACATCTCTCACATCAGGCTTCCCTGGTGCCTAACAATAACTGACATCAGTGCAGCCTGCTCCTAATAGGATTTCTCCTCTCTTTCTCTTCTATTTTTCACAGCATCCATAAAGACACTGTTGCCTCAAGACCCCTACCCATTTTTCAAACTTAATTTAGGAGTTATAGAAGGGGCACAGAAGGGAAAAAGACAAGGATGCAGAAAAATTGCCTAAGCCTCAGCTCCCCAGGAACCCAGGCTAAACACACAGCTCCTCCTCAGAAAGGATTTCTATTTCTATTGAGGTGCCACAGGTATTTTACAGCTTTAGCATTCACCTATTTCCAAAGCAGTAATGTGTGAGGTCAGCCCACGTTGCTTTGAGGAAAAAAAAATGGGCTGTAATAGGTTCAAGTTTAAATCCAACCTATTTAATTGTGGAGTATAAGCACAAAGAAAGTTGATGGAAGTGACACTATTATAAATAAATAAAACTTCTCTAAGTGTAATTTCTGATGCAAGAACACTTGTCTGAATCACGTCAGCAGTACAACCCTTTGTGACACAGCACTGAACTCCCAGCAAGGGGCATTCCTGAAACATGGAAGATGAACTACTCCCAGTTCACAGATAGCAAAACTGAGAGCCAAAGCAGCTCAGTGACAGGCCCAGAAGCAGACAAGAGCCTCCAGGGCAGCAAGGTGAAAGAATAAAATGGCATCAAGCATATTTTTTTTTTTCATCTCAGCACAAGAGAAATGCAAATTGAAGGGCAAGTTCTAGACTAAGAAGAAATAAAAGATGAAACCTTTCAATAAGGGTAGAAGTCATTTTTATAACTGCAAGATCCAGGCTTTGCATCTGTCCAGAGGTGCACTGACACTGAAAGAGTGCCCCAGGAGTTTTCAGAGGCTGGGAACAAGTGCGGCAATGCCATGACAATGTCCCATGGGTCACTGACCCTTCATTAAAACACTGCCCTTCCCTAAGAGAATAGACATTCTACAAATTTTATTTCCCCCCACCCCATTTCTTCCTAGGTTTTAACATCCTGTACACCTGAGAGTTGGATAATGTTTGAAGCAACATGCAAATTTGGTTTTAAAATATATCAGACCCTGAAGGAATCTGTCTGTATCCACAAGCACCTAAAAAAGGATTCTTAAACCTCCACCATCCAAAAGGAGAAAAAAAAAAAAAATACCCTTTCTGGAGACGTAAGTCTCCTTTTTTAGCTTATTTTGTTGTGTCTCACGCAGCCTGTGCATGAAAATACAAAATAAGGAAAGATAAAGACTAAGTGTCCTTCTGCCTTTGGATGAGATACAAGTGGGGAAAGGGAAGGAAGTGATGAGAAACAGACACAAAGCAATTATGTCTAGGATTAACTAATTTTTCTGGTTAATAATTTCAAATCACTTGCTTCAAACCAGAGTGTGTTTGATGACACACAGCTATCAAAGTGATACTTCTGTAGATGTGTAAAATGTTGTCCAAAATCAGACTCAAGAAAGCAGAGGATGAGGGAAAAGAACCTTCAATATCTATTAGGTGGCCTACAGGAAACTATCATGACAGGCTGAGTCTTCATCTGGGAATCTCTGCTGCAGAAAGCTGTTTGGTTGTGTTGGGGTTTTTGTTAATTAACTCTACTACTTTGACATCAGGCACAGCACAATTAACGTGCTGATGAACATGAGAACCCCACACTGCCACAGGATCTGAGAATAATTTTGCACATGTATTTGTACAACACGTGCCTTAGGAACTCCTCCATACAGCCAGCAGCAGCAATAAAAGCCATGTGCATCATGCTTTATGTTATACAAGTTAATTATCACTCTTGTAAAGCCCTGACATCAAATGCCATGCTCAGTTCTGGGTGTGGAGGCATAGAAATAAACTTTTTGAGTCAGCTCTGCCAGTGCTTCCACCCACTCCAGAGTAAAGCAGAGCCCTCTGTCACCTGGGACAAATCTCTTGCTTTTATACTACTCTGCAAAGGCAGGAAACAATGAAAAGGACTCCTGAAAAAACCCTTTTGCAATATACATTCAAGAACAGCAGCAGTTCAAGGCTCAGAAATAGATATTTGCTTCAACCAACAATTGTCTGGTGAATTTATTTACAAACGTTATTGTACAAGGGAATGGCTGTGGTTTATGACCCATAAGACACACCTGCAGTCATTTATGAGTATCCTGAAGTCCATAAATTCAATTTCCTCACCCAAAGAGCTGGCCTCATAACTCTCCTGAACAGACTGACCAACTACACAAAACACAACAGACGAGGAAAATTAAAATAACAAACAAAATTTCAAGGACAAACAAATCAGGGGCAGACATTCATATTTCCCCTAATCCACTCAGACTCAAAAGTGAGAATAAAACAGAAAAAAAAAGTGCTGCTCATCTCTGAAGCTGAAGGGCTTGGAAATTTAAATTAGTAGGAGAGTAGCCTATATCCTACATCCATCCCTCTGGACATCTACAAAGCAAGCAGCCCCTTGAGCAGCAGGCCAGATTCCTGGGGTAATTACACGTACATAAAAAAGGTACAGGATGAGATGACCAAGGCAAAAACCAGCTGTGACCAGAAGGGGTAGAGGGAAAAGAGAAAGGGAGAGTGTCCCAGTCAATGGTGCCAATGCCTGTGGGTTATCAGACTCTTTAAATGCCACCCATGGGTGTTCATGCCAAGCAGTGCCTTGGTTTCCAAGAGACTGCCCCTGCCAATTCCTTGAAAAAGAGTGGCCCTAACCTGGCTGTATATCACACCAGCCTCAATTTAAGAGAATAATTTCCTTGAAGGGCTTTTAATTTCACCTTTAGAAGTCCTCCACCTTTTTATTTGCTGACTTAGGGCCAATTCTCTACTTTCCTCCAATTCCACAGCTTCAAAGGAGTAATGTGGCTGCTCTCTACTTACTCCATTAAGTTGCCTCCTAATTAGCTGCTCAACCTCAGATCCTGCATAAGCAATTTCATTATTTCATATTTTGAAACATTGTTTTACACTTTGAAACAAAGAGGCTTGTGCCCAGAAAGTGCCACAAGGAACTCTGGGAACCTTACCAGCCAGACACAGCAGAACACAAGCACAGAGGATCAAAGGACAAATCCATAATTAAATGCTGCCAGATAACTGCACCATCAATGTCTGATTTTAAGAGCAGGGCCCTCAGACTACATGTAACACCAGTGAGCCAGAAGTACCACCTCCATTCCATTGCTACTGACCAGTAAAGAGCATCATACAAAGATAATTAGTGATTAGGTGAAAACTTGGGTTTAGCTCCTTTCTGACTCTATTTATGAGGGCACCACCATGCTCTGTGGGTCCATCTCTGGCTGTGCACGAGATGGAACCTTTTACTCCATGACCAGGAGCCAGAAGAGTTCCTGTTTTAATAAATCATATAGATAATGATGATATCTCTTAGAAACAGCTGCAGTTAAAATTCACATCAACAGATTTTAAAAAGAAAAGCAGAGCCAGCCTCTGTCCTCAGCTCTTCTGACAGATAGGGCTCATGACACTGCCTTATTAAGGCTGACTGCTCTTTCCTGGGTTTCCCTCAGATTTTCAGAAGCACTGAACACACCCAAATATAACCTGAAAACTTTTACACATCATTATTTCACTTGCTTGAATCTTCTGGAAAATTTCTGCCAAACTGCTTTGAAACACAAAGTGAAGAAGTATGGACTCTTTCTGGCAGAGGCAAAATATTCTTGAACATTTCTTTCACTTTGGCCAAAGGGCACAAAATCTGGTTGAGCAAAGGTGTAAGACCTGGGGACAGCCCCTAAAAAGAGCTTCTCTTGCCACCCCACAAATCAGATGGATTCCAGGCCTGGGTGAAGCAGAGAAGGAGCAAAGGAGAAGGGATAGCAGAACTCCAGTTTCCACAGGGTCAGCAGACACATTAGCTGAGAATTCCATAATACACTGAGTGTACTCAGACTGGAACTAAACAGGATTACCCAGACAATCAGAACTAAGAACTTCCTCAGGCTGACAGCTGAACTACAAGTGAAAGGGAGAAAGTTCCCACCCCATTTGCAGTGAACCCCTGAAATAATCTGGAAGGGTAAAGATGCCCTCTTTCACTGAGGGCAGAGGAACCAAAGCTGCCACAAGCGAACAGGTTGCAAAGAAGAAAATGTTGGGGAAGGTGACATGAGTGCTGGAAGGACAAAATAAAACAAAACTGGAATGGATGTTACAGAAGCGTAAAATGAAATTCCACACATTCAACAGGAACATGCA